GTCGGGTTGGAAAACCACTGAGTGCGTCCCACCCAAAAACAACTCAGACAAAACGTAATCCTAAACTTGCTGGTGGCCTGAAGGACTCATTTTCAGGTTATTCAGTTGTCTTCCTTGGTTCCACCCTTCAATTCATTAAGCAGATCACCGGAGCCAACTTCGGGTCTTATCGTCTTTCGGTTTCTGTCCGACTTTTGTACACTGGATTGAAATGATTCTGGAGTGACTTCTTTCGTTACGAAATTTCAGCCATCCGAAAACCTCTTCTTGTCTTTAACAGAAGAAAGCTCTTCCCTCATTAGTGGCTGGTCACTCGCCTTTGTTCAGGGTTTGAATGCTGTGGACAGGGAAGAAAAGGGGGTTCACTGCTGTCTGATATCATCATATCTATTTTGACCTAAAAGCTTCCTTGGGATATCTAAGAGCTAATTCTAGACTATCTTTTCTCTTTAAAAAACGGGTAATAAGAAAACACTTATTATCTTTTGATTTGCAAGCAACATCTGCTCAAAAAGAAAAAGAAGTTTACTTTTATGAGGTGACCTGCTTCGCGGGATCGCCTAAAAGGACCTGATCCACTCTAGGCGAAGCTTTTTGGGGCGAAAGCTACTATGTTATCTTCCAATTGAATTGAGAGAGTTTTCAATCGAATTCCAATTTCTCGTTATATAAGCTATTTCGAATTGAATGATTTCAAGATCGAGTTTCCAAAATACCGGAGAAAAAGTGATGCAAACAGGAAACCTGCTTCGCCCGTTGATGGTCCAAGCCCAAGTATTCATTCCTTAAAGAGCTGGACGTATTGTTCAGCTTCCTATGAAGCGTAGCTGGTACTTAGGAAGATTGGACGAGGGTGGAGGGGGCACATCTAGTGGTATCGTATATAAGAGAGAGCTTCTTTGAAGAATGATATGAAACTATCAATTTCATAAGAGAAGAAAGAAAGTAGCCTAGTTCAGATCAAAAGGTATGCCACAATGCTATCCGAGTTCACAGGTGTCGTTCCGTCTACTTTTCTTTCCAAACCTTTTCTAAAGCGGTATTCCTCCTTGCCTCTGAATTCAAAAATGGAATGATGGAATTATCTCCCAGAGCTGGGGAACTAACGAATCTATTCGAAAGTAGAATTAGGAACTTTTATGCGAATTTTGAAGTGGATGAGATCGGTCTGTTCATTTGGCTAACTCTAAATTTATTCCTCATTCTGGTTTTGGTTTTCGTATTATGGATCTTGGTTCGCGCTTTATGGCATTTCCCCTTAGCCGGGATTCACTTGATGGTCCATTCTTCCACAATCGCTTCTTCTTCTTCTTCTTCTTCTTCTTCCAATAACAATAACAAAAGAAGGGACAAAAGGAAGAAGAAAGAAGATTTAATAAGGAATTTTATTGTGGAAGAGGTGGATAAATATCTGGCAACCCATAAGGAGGCTCTAATAAAGGAATTCCCCGGTGCTTTCCCTTGTATCGAAACGCCCGCGTTTTTGATCAAGGTAAGCACGGACCTTATACGGGGTACCGGATTGCCAGATACCGCGGACCCGGCGAGTATGGAAATACTCCATAAGGTCCATAAGAATTTGTTGCAATCTTTTCAGCTAGTAAAAGAGGAAGGTTATAGAAATCATATCATCTATGATTCGGTAAGATGCTTTCTCAAGCATTATCGAAGTGATTGAGATGGTGTGAGTTTGTTCAGTGGTCGTAACGTAATTGGTTAATGGGGAGAAAGCGGGCCGAGAATCTGATGTCAAAAGGACCAAGGATGATCTTTTCGGAAAGGAGGAGTAGGAAGAGTCAGCTTGTGTGAAGGAACAGAAAGCGGAATGTTTTCTTATTGGCTGGCAAGTGTACAACAACCTTAACCGCGCAAGCCTGGGCTGGGCCTACCTCCATCCTTAGAGAAGCCGTATGAGGCGGAAGCCCCACGTACGGTTTTGAAGCCGAGCCTTTCCAGCAATGGGGCTTAGGGACCGATATGATGATTGGTTTAGGTAGGGCGGCCGGCCTACTACGGGCACCCGCCTGTAGGGATTAGTGCGTGAGACCGCGATCCACAAACTGACGCATGGGACTCACCCTTTACTTGAGAATAAAGAGGGGAAAGATAGCATGTCCCAAGAGCGAGGCGAGTTTTGGAACCCTACAGCGAGAGGGACGCCTCGCGAGCCGGGCTTCCAGAGATGAGGCCTTTTGGCGAAGCCAAGTTTCTTTCGGGCCACCAAACCCTGCAACTGATGAGAAAGAAGGCCCTATGGGGTAAAGGGAAGCGTGTACGTTGTCACACTCCCTGCCTTCCAAAGGTGCCTAGAGGACGGGCCAGACGCAGCAGAGCGACAACCCGGGAGCAGATTCCCCACCGGCAGGGGGACAGGAGACGGCCATCTCAAGGCACATCACGACCTACAGGTAAGACCGGCGAGACCAGGGAAGGCAACCCGATTGGGAGTCAGAGGATCCATAGTACCTGCAGCCCCACGGACTGAATATTCCTCATTTTATAAAGCGGAGGGAAGGGATCTCTTTTCTGCAACGGAAAAAAAACGGAGCAGATTTGACTCGACACAACCTAACGATACATCCAATACCAATGATCTGTGCCTAGAATGCGTTGCTAGATCTCTGTTCTAAAAAGCTATACAGGCAACAAGAAAGTTGACCGGGGGCGGGTCTTCCCTTTCATTACTTATTTCACGACGAGGGAACCGCGCCCGCATCAGTCGAAGTGGTGCCCTCCTCTAAGAAAGAAGGTTTCAGTCTCATTCAACCAACTCTCTTTTTGAAGCAGATAGTTCACGAGATAATTGAGTAAGTTAAGTTAAGATAGATGTCACAATTTGAACCAAAGGCCTTTTTAGTGATTAGTCTGCTAGTTTCTTTGATCTTAGTCGGTGTGAATTATTCCTTTTTTTTTTCTCAAGTCAACCCGGAAGGAGAAAAGACCCTAATTTTTCTCTTATCCATCGTCTTCTTGGTAGCAAGTTTTTTTTTCTTTGTTGTTAGTCACCAACTTATTTACCCAGAAATAGATAAGGGGGATTTAGTAAATCCACTTCAGGTGCTGGCCCAGCTGTCGTGTCTATTGGTTCTCTTTAGCGGCTCAAGAGCCGCTTACGCAGGCGCCAGCACCGGCTGAAGTTGCCCATCCCGTTCCTAACCAATCTCCTCTTGGGGGGGGAACGGGGGAAATCGCTAGATCCCTCATGGGATCAAAAAAAACCTATCACCGAAGTCCCACCTATTCAAAAAAATGGTGCCTGAACCGACGGGAAGCTCTTCTTCGCAGGGTCCTGCCGCGCCTTGCCGCAGCAGTGGGGCCTACGGTCGGACAGGTGGGACGTGTCTGTTGTGAGGCTTGCGGGGAAGCTTGCCTGGATATCGCCCGTGCCTGTTGTCAGGAATGCGCGCGTGTCTCCCTAACCTAAATATCAAGGACTTCAGGTGTTCGGTCGAGCTTGTCATCTAATAACATTTGAATTTCTCTTAGATTCCACGTTCCCGAAATGGATCCTATCAAATATTTCACATTTTCTATGATTATTTCTATTTTAGGTATTCGGGGAATCCTCCTTAATAGACGAAATATTCTTATTATGTCAATGCCAATTGAATCAATGTTATTAGCTGTGAATTCGAACTTTTTGGTATTTTCCGTTTCTTCAGATGATATGATGGGTCAAGTATTTGCTTCATTGGTTCCAACGGTGGCAGCTGCGGAATCCGCTATTGGGTTAGCCATTTTCGTTATAACTTTCCGAGTCCGAGGGACTATTGCTGTAGAATTTATTAATAGCATTCAAGGTTAACCATTCCTCTCCTTTCAGTCGAGACTTATCCTGGTGGACCTTACAGTCGAGTCACTTTGTACCTCTTCTCAAATTAGGAAAATACGAAGTTCGAGGAACGCCTTTCGTTCTCTTTTTTTCTTGGTCGGCAGGGTCAGGGCCTTTCTCGCTGGGCGAGCGCATCCGATTCAAAAGTCCTTTCCTAAACCACTTCCCGTTCAGTTGCTGAAAAAGAAATGGGGATAAGCTTTCTAAATGAGATTGAGTTCGACGAATATGGATGCTAGAAAGATGTTATTTGCTGCTATTCTATCTATTTGTGCATTAAGTTCGAAGAAGATCTCAATCTATAATGAAGAAATGATAGTAGCTCTTTGTTTTATAGGCTTTATCATATTCAGTCGTAAGAGTTTAGGTACGACTTTCAAAGTGACTCTCGACGGGAGAATCCAGGCTATTCAGGAAGAATCGCAGCAATTCCCCAATCCTAACGAAGTAGTTCCTCCGGAATCCAATGAACAACAACGATTACTTAGGATCAGCTTGCGAATTTGTGGCACCGTAGTAGAATCATTACCAATGGCACGCTGTGCGCCTAAGTGCGAAAAGACAGTGCAAGCTTTGTTATGCCGAAACCTAAATGTTAAGTCAGCAACACTTACAAATGCCACTTCTTCCCGTCGCATCCGTTTTCAGGACGATCTAGTCACAAAGTTTTACACCTTAGTGGGTAATCAATTTGCCTACTCTTCTATCTCGAAAGCAGAAAGAGTAGAATTCATTCGAGAGAGCTTGGTGGTCTTAAGAATGGTTCGGGGGGGGGGTTTCTCTTAAGAATAAAGAAGAGGAATTCAATCTAATTGATGTTCATGCTCTCAGAAGAGCGGATCCAATACCAAGACTACTTCTTTCTCCTGGACCAACCACTCACTTTAGGTTTTGGGCATACTAAGTATGGGTACGAGGTCGAATCTGATGAAGAAGCTGGTCCCGAGACCACGCAAACGCGGTTTTTTTTGCATAAATAGGATGAACCGACCGATGGAGATAGTCAAAGGTCCGAATCCCATCACAACTTGACCAAACCCCGGGACTGATCGATGCTTCGCTAATAGAAGCTCCTGAAAGCAATTCTCAGATCAGCCCTTCTTTTTTTCTTGTGGGTTCTCTTTGCCAGACGATGGATAGGACCTTCTTGATGGAAGGTACCGTCTTGTGGAATACGCCTCAGAACAGACATACCCCACACATGCACGGGGTATAACAGACGTTGTTTAAACCAGTTACCGATTACAAACAAACGCCACTTTCCGGCACCCTCTAAGGACTGAGCCAAACGTCCGAAAAAAAGAGATTGAGAAAGAACGGTCAAAGCCCACGGCGAGGGAATCAAACACCAAGCCAGGCCAAGCCTCATAAAACCTCAACCCTTCATTAGCTGCCCAGGTACTCAATTTCGTATCAAACGGGTACAAAGTATACCCAGGTTGAAAGAGAATACCTGGACTGAAAATACCATCCGGTTCTGAATGAATGATTCGCAGCTGGCGGGCAAAAGCCGCTATTTCCAAGAACATCGCAGAGAAGAAACAAGTCTCCTTCCGTTCGTTAGGAGCAGGCTGCTCATCACTACCTGTAACCTTCCACATGTGCAACTGAAGATTCGGTTTCGGCGGACGCAGTTTTTTGAGCTTACGCTCTTCACGAAGTTGCCTCCGTGCTTCACGGTGCGCTTCCTCCTCTTCAGGGCTCCGTTGGATCTTATGTTGAAACAAGGTTACTTAAATCATTAGGGGTGGACTTCCAGGACGGGACAAACTGAAATCTCTTTTCTAAGGGGATGGAGTTTACCTAGGGGAGATAGTGTCTGAACAAATTTCCTACATTTTGTTTCAGTTCAGAACACACCTCTTTAACCCGACCCATATCTTTAATGGGAGTCACAATGGTCCGGAATGTGCTAGCCTTTATAGGCTTCGCCAATTTAATAATCCGACACACTGAGAACCAAGAAAGATACAATCGGACCAACTGATCTGCCCGATCATCCCGCACTTTGATCAATTGGCGGTGATGGGTAGGGATTCTAGTTGGTATCCCAAGCAAGCCAGGAAGGCAGCGCTGCGCGCCTACGGTCCTTTGCTGTGTTAACCATGTGTTGCTGAGCTAACCATGTCAACAGTATGGAACCCCTCCCGAAGGCTCGTAGAGACCTTCAAAAGAATACAAGCAAGTGTAGCTCACTCTCCCGAAGGGAGCTTAGCAACAGTAGTTAGTTAGAAACAGCAGCCGCAGATCAGTCGGAGAAGTCGTTTCTACCATTTCAATCGGACAATAAATTCCGAGACCTTTCAAACAGCGTATTCTCGGTACGAACCAGGCCCGCTGGGAGAGTCAACTTTCTGATTTCCGAATTGATTGGAAAAAACTCCAAATTGGGCCAGAGACAGGTACGGAAAATTCTCAGGGGCCGAAGCGCCAAGTAGGAGAGGTCAGAGTCAATATCTCGTCCGATACTCGTCCCTATCCTTTCTTTAAAGTGGAAACGGCGTTACCGTCATTGAAAAAGAAGCGAACAGGGAACGGCGGGAGAAAGACTCGGCATTCAGGCCATGCTAGTACAGAGTTGTTTTCTTAGCTACACTTGCTTCCATCAAGAGCTCCCAAGGCCACCTGATTCGGAGTAGCCCGTTCGTGGCAGAGATTTTCATTCCAGTTGGACTTGGCCAAATGCCAATCCTCCTAGTTGTGGAAGTGGTTGGAACGGTTTCCTATTCCTATCGAGCAGCTGAGCCAGTGAAAAGCAGGACAGGGTCACAATCTTCAAAATTTGAAAAGCAAATAAAAAAAAGTCGGAGCTGGTAACGCCTTGGTGAGCAAATCGGCAGGTTGTTCTTTAGTAGAGATGTGTTCGGTTGTAATGAGTTTGTCTTGAACCGCATCACGCACCTGATGACAATAAGATTCAATGTGCTTCGTGCGCTCATGAAACACAGGATTGGCAGCAATATTCATAGCAGACTTGCTATCAAAAAATCACTTCATTGGTTCGTCATGTTTGATACCAAACGAGAGAAGTAACTCCTTGAACCATTTAAGCTCGCACAAAGCAAACGCCATAGATCTATACTCAGCTTCGGCGGAAGACCTTGACACTGTTGGTTGTTTCCTAGTTTTCCAAGAGATCGGAGAACTACCAAGATAGAACTGTTCAAGCAGGACTTGCTTGCTTCGCCTGTTGATTACCTCTCCTTTCAGTCGAGTCACTCCGTACCTCTCCTTGCTTGGCTTGGACTGTTCATGAGGTTGTCAGCTGGCCGCTACGCGCCTGTTGCTGAGTTAACCATGTGTTGCTAAGTACGGTTCAAGTGTAGTTCACGTAAGGCGCGAAGCGTGTTGTAGCGAAGCGTAGACTTGAGGAAGGCCCGAGTGAACGGCTAACTGCAGCTACTTCCTTCTAATAAATACCTCCTCTCCTGGTTCTTACAGGTAAGGTTTAGACGGCTGGCAGATACGACTGATCGGCTGGTTGCCCTGCTTCTTCTGCGCATTACTAACTCCGCTGCGCCCTCTTTTCTCTTCGTTGGCTGGGAACAAGTTGCATGAAGAAGTCGGGTTGTTGGCGTATCGATGTTCCTGTTGTGTTAAGCATGAGACTTTTGTTGATTGTTTGCGAGGACTTAGTTGGATAGAAGAGAGATTGGTGCTCAGTCTAATCCTAGTGGATATAGGTCAGGTCCGGGTCATAGATTCTTTGCAACCCGCAGATAGAAGGGGAAAGTCCGGCAGGTGAAGCTGGACACCCACTGAAACAACCTCTATAGTTTGGGCTCAAACGGCGGCTCTGTCCTACCTTACTTCTCAACCAAACCAGATTAAGCAAAGCACGCAAAGACGTCCACTGTCTATTCATGTTATTCTTTTGATCCTCGAGCGGCGGTGGGCCTATTGATTCGGGGGCATCAAAGACAGATCTTATGGCGAGATCGAGGAAGTGTGGTGGGCGAAGCGCTAGTGCCCTATATATAAGGCGCTTGCCTCTCTTGTTGAACTACTTGATAATTAGACTTTCGCGGAGATGCCTGGTATAGATACCTTCTTACTACATTCTCAGACGGACTTTCTTTTCCTAATTGTTTTGAATTCACTTGACAGAGATGCCAGGGCAAGCTCACTTGGAGCGATATACCTTGTTTTCCCGCTTTCACTAGGAATAAAGAGACATGGCATCTATTGAACCTGGAGACTGAACTAGGTATGATGAACTTCCCCCTACTGCGACTACAGCTACAACGACTGCGGATATTGGATAAACTGCGGCTACTGCCGAAGAAACTTCCGTACCTTATTGTGAGAGTTCCGATGATTTGGCTGAGGTGAGCTAACGAATTCCTGGTTGAAACTTCACTTAACACAGTCTTCGTTCACATAGTAGAAGAGGTAGAGGGATTGCTTCTTGACTGAAAGTCTTATATCCGAACAACTAGGTTTCGCTTTCAAGCTTAAGGTGAACTATAGTTAAGGGAATCTATCTTGACTTACTCCCCGGCAAAGAAAAGGAGAAAGAGGTGCCCTATCTGCAGGTGCTTTACCCGAAGACTTAAGGCGTCTTGGCCCGGGCCTTATCCTATTTATTTGGCATTCAACTTCAAAGCTAAGTGGTAAAGGCACGGAATCCGATATCCGATAAACTAGGCCACTTCTCTTACGATCACTGATGACTCAACCGCGAAGAATGAAAGAGTTGGGCACTCGATCGCGCTGTGTCTCTCTCTTGTTGCGTATGACTACGCGGATGACTATACTCCCACTGCCAGACAAAACTAGTAATAAAGATATGGAATCCGCTTTTCCCAGAACTGCTTGACTCCCGGGCATCACTTGAAGTTTCAGCATAAGGCCTTGGCCTTACCTGAACACAAGCACTCGTACGATTGGTTCAATCAATAGGAGCTATCCTGTACCTACTTCTTGCCTACTATATAGTGGGTATTCCCCTACAGCCAAAGACTTCCACAGCACCAATTCCGGCTACTTCTGCGTCTGCCACGTCTCTAACGAATTCTCTCTCGAGCTTTCAATGCTAGAGCCATTCCCGCGGGAGAAGAACTTACTATAATAGGGAATTTAGCTTGAAAGACTTGATCGGTAGTGCCAGTCATTCCCTACCTTGTTTGTTCAACTTCTCCTATATTGATTCATATAGCAGAGGGAAACTAGTGGGGATATAAAAGCAATCAAATAAGGCATTCTCCGCTGGAATCTTTACTTGCAATTTGATCAAGTCAGCTATCCAAAATAAGTTTTCATTCAAGAACCACTTTACTTAGAGCTCGTAGCGGAAAGAGCAGATTCACTTTCAGTTTCTCATATGGAGTCCCATATGCTTAGCCATCAGCTGAGAAAGATTGATACCAAGTCGGAGCATATCCCGTTCGAGGGTCCACCTATTCGGGAGCCAGTACGAGAGTCAATTCAAGTTTCGGATACCTGCGCCTATTGCATATTTTTGATTTGCAGTTCACCCCGCTGTTAGATAGGCAGAGTAAGCATAGGCGGTGGTATAAGCCTTTTGAGTTTGAAGATATTTTTTCGACCGGAGCAAGATCCATTCATAAGGGTTTGGAGATTTCTCAATCTATCAAATAAAATACGATTCAACAGCGGGAGAGACCCTTCCAGGGAAAGCTCAATAACTGTATTTTAGAGTACAAGTCAGACGATGCAGACGCAACGCTATACCTAGAGTCTGGTCTAAAGTAAAGCTACCATCCGATTTCAAACCGTGAGTACTCTGTTTCACTCTCATTCCGCCTTTTACTGAGCTTTCGGGTTCCTCTTTGCCCACGGATTGCCATTTAGATTATGCCATTTTGACGGTCTTTCATGCCCGGGAAAATGAACAGTTGCACTTTTCTGTCATATTGGATATATTCAAAAACTCTCCTCTTTGTCTACGCTCGTTCCTGCCTTATGTGAAGCTCCCCCTGTTCTGGAGAAAAGGGGATAGGAAGCCAATAGGGCAGGCAAGAGTGGCATAAGTCGCCATAACCAGCCAGCTCAAGGAAGATCACATAGAATAGCTAAGGTGCGAGTCTTCTATTCAATATGGGTAGGTACTTCCCCACGGAAGAGCTCTGCTATCACCTAAAAGACTGCAATTAGCCTATCGGATAGAACTCTTTCTGAGGATTTGACTTTAGTCAATAATGAATGTTTTTATAACAAAGTGTGATCAGCTTTACTTTGGTAATACCCATATCTCTGCATAGTCTGTGTGAATCTGCCAACCCATTTCTCGAGTAAGCTTCGTAGAACTGCGGGATGCTAGACAAAGTGAAATATATTACTAGTAATAGTAGTAGTGCGCGATTGGAGAATCACTTCCAACTGAATAAGATGGTTTTACCCATCCTTTTGTAGTCGAACCTAGGCCAGATCACACATCAGAACACACACGTGAACACGCGCACATCATAACATAATTGTGATTGCTCTGGGCCAGTGCATTTGATGCATTTAGTATTCTCGATTCACGAGAATGGTATTTCCCGTATATTCCATTATGCATCGATCAATTCATATGTGATCATGACACATGCTAGCATACCGGTCAAAGGTTGTAACATGATGGTGGTGTGTGTTATTATCTCAAGGCCTCCCTTTAGAGATAGATGAGAAGTCAAGTTCAGTATGGACGATTCTTCTGTTCGAGCCTC